CAAACACAACAAAGTTAGAATGAATGCCTACCTCCTCCTAAACGGTCCCGGAGACTTGATAGTGACGACCGTCGCCGGCTTATTGTGTTCCGACGGTGCTTTATACAATCAAACCGTCAAAAAAATTGCTTCTTTTTTCTCTTTGCCAGAGAAATCATATGGATGCGACTCTTTATATAGCCCAGGTATTGGTAAATTACAATTGAATAGCATTGAATTTCATGGTATGGCAAATTAAGTCCCCCACCTTTCGTACATTTGGACAATATGTATTTTTTTTACCAGCATTTATAAATATAAATATATAATCTATTTCTAAACTAACATTTAATTTCACTTATCAAATAGCTTCTAGTCCAGCGGTATCAGATGATGTCCTCTTTACTTGAGGTCAAGAGTTCAAGTCTCGTTGTGGACGTAGATAGAATTAGATCTTAGTTTGAGAATAGATTATATATTATATTTATCGGTTCAAAAAAATATTTAATTTCACTTATGTCCACGACATGATTTGAACCCTTGATCTCAAAAAAAGAGAACACTACCTAATACCGTTTGATTAGAAGTTTTTTTGTATTTGTTCATGGTGTCAATAAAGCTTGTTGTACCTTGTTGCATTTTGGTATATATATAGTCATTTATGATTTTTTTTTTTTTTTTTTTTTTTTTTTTTTTTTTTTTTCATATTTAGTCATTTAATTATCTAATGAACATGTTAAGTAGGGTTAATAACATTAAACTTTTTTATGTTCACATAGGACCATTAATATACATATGAACTTTGGGTTAAATTTACAAAAATGGTCTTTAGATTTTGTTGGAATAGACATTTTTGGTCTATTTTTGATTTTTTTTATATATATTAAAGATTTTAAAGAATTGGCCTAATTTATAAAAATGATCCATAAATTTTGTTGAACTTAGATCATTTTTTTACTTTTTAAGCCTAACCTTATGAACATAACATGAATAGTGAACCGAGAATTGGCCAAATTTACAAAACTGATCCCTAGATTTTGTTGAAGTAGACATTTTTGGTCCTATTTTTGATTTTTTATATATATTAAAGATTTAGTGAACTTTAGATTAAATTTACAAAAATGGTCCCTAGATTTTGTTGGAGTAGATACTTTTGGTCTATTTTTGATTTTTTTTTTATATATATTAAAGATTTTAAGGAATTAGCCTAATTTACAAAAATGGTTCATAGATTTTGCTGATCTTGACAATTTTTTACTTTTTAAACTATGAACATAACATGAATATCGACCCAATTTACAAAACTGGTCCCTAGATTTTGTTGAAGTAGATATTTTTGGTCCCATTTTTTATTTTTTATATATACTAAAGACTTCAAGGAATTTGCCTAATTTACAAAAATGGTCCCTAGATTTTGTTGAACTTGATAGTTTTTTATTATATATATATATATATATATATATATATATATATATATATATATATATATATATATATATATCATCATCATTACCTATATGTTTGAGATTACTACTTTGGTGCACGTCATTGAGGTGCTTATTTCCTCCAATAAATAAAATTATGCCGGTAATTTTAACATATATGTCTATATACTCTCCTCCAATAAATAAAAGTGTGCCGACAACTTTTAACATATATCTTTATTTACTCTATTTTTTGGCATTATAGTTGTAGGCTTAGGTTATGGCTGCTAGGCTTAGGTTGTAAAGATGTGTCGTTGTTCTACTTTTCCAATTTTTGGTCCAATTGATGTCTCCTTTTGTGGTCACTTTTGTTTTATTGTGAACCGATAAAAGTTGTGATTTATTACCGTTTTACTTTTGTTTTATTCTTGACTAATAAAATTTGGGCTTTATTACCGTTTACCTGGTGCTTATCCCAAACAGTTTTCTCCCCACGCAGTTAATTTTGCAATTCTTTGCTACACCGCCTATAGTGATACGTGTTGGAGCTGTATGTTGTCTAAGATATGGTCCAATTAAACTAAACGGTTTAACTTTTTGCCCAATTAAATCAATTGGTGTTTATTGTTTCTGATATTTATTTATTTGTTGGCTTTTTTTGCCTTTTCACATTACAAGATTGAGATTCTATTGAATTCGTTGCTTCAATCTTCTTAGATCTGCGTACTTATTCCGAGGGTTACTTATTCTGAGGGTTTATAAAGGTTCGAATTTGTTGTGCAGCAGGATTTTGTGCATGCTAATTAGGAGGACCGAAGGTATGAATGCCAGTTCTATTTCTGTCTTTTTTTTTTTTTTTTTTTTTTCCTTTTCACATTACAAGAGTTGAGATTCTATTGAATTCGTTGCCTCAATCTTCTTAGATCTGCCTACTTATTTCGAGGGTTTTACTTATTTTGAGGGTTTATAAAGGTTCGAATTAGTTGTGCAGCAGGATTTTGTGCATGCTAATTAGGAGGACCGAAGGTATGAATGACAGTTCTATTTCTGTGCCATTTGAGTATTTTTTGTATATTTTCTTTCTCCAATTGTTCACGATGTTGCTATTACATGAAAAGTGTTGTCATGTTTCTTCTTTTACCCTGATTTCAAATGGTTTTCCTTATAGTTTTTACAAAACATGTTAGCCAATTTACTAAAAGTCTATATAAATCTAATGGGTTATGCTATTTTTTAGGTTAGTAATATTTGTTTTGTTGCTTATGTTATTCATCTGTTTTTATTGCAAAAGGTTGATAAATCTATCATGAAGGATGTTCAGCCTTCTTTGGAGTTTGAGGATAGGAAAGCATATAGGAAACGTGTTATTTTAAGATGGAAACAACAAAGACTTGAACAGAAAAAAAAATTACATAAGGAAATCTATTTCAAAGCAAGAAAATCGTAAAAATAAGCATAATTTTGCCGGTCATGCAACAGGTAGAGGTCTATTAAAGTTCATTCCTGTTGTTGCTGATATCTTACCTTACGTTCCTGACTGTCATCATTGTGGTGCTTTAAAGTTCTATTCAGAAACATCTGGTTTTTGTTGTTTAGATGGCAGTGTTGTCTTGTATAGTAATCACCTTCCAACAGTCATGATTGAACTACTAACTTCAGACTGTCACGAAACAAAGGTTTTTAGAACATATATTAGAACATATAATAACCATTTCGCTTTTACATCCTTAGGTGTTACATCTGATCCTAATTTCAATAAGAGAGACAGCGGGATTTATACTTTTAGAGTTCAAGGTCAGATGTATCATTTTATTAATGGTTTATACTCTGAAAATGACCGACATAAAAATCTGCAGTTATATATTCATGATACTGAACATGAGATCCAAAATAGGTTAATGGTTTGTCCACTGATATGTGAAACTCTGGTTCAGAAGTGTATAAAATATCTTCAACATAATCCGTACGCTTATTTTTTTCGGAATTTGAAGAATATTGGAGACTTAGATACTTATAAGATTGTTCTTAAAACTGTTGTTGTTCAAGACCAAAGAGTCTATAATAAACCTGATGTATCACAGGTTGCTGCAATTTGGGTGGACGGTGAAGATAATGGGGAGTGTGGTCCAAGAGATATCCGAGTTACAACCCATGAATCTGAATCTAGAAATATAAAGTATTTTTATGGTTGTTATGATCCTCTACAATAACCTTTAATGTTTCCTTTTGGAGAACTAGGCTGGCATCAAGGTATTCTAAAAAAAAAATAAAACAGCCCAAGTTAGAAAGCAGGGTTTGTGTTCAGCTGCAGAAAAACTTATTGCTCCGGGTAGTATAGTGTGTGCGGATGACTTATTAAAGATGGAAGAAACTGGTAAAATACTTACTCTTTCTATTTTTTTTTTTTGGAAAAATGTATTGTGCTTTACTTCTTTTCTCTTTTTTATACAGTGCTTGGAAGAAACGTAGATAACCCCAAGGTTGTATCTGTTAGAGAGTATTACGCTTATAAGCTTCAGATAAGGCATGATGACACAACTTATTTACTCTATTTTGGTAGATTACTACAACAGTATATAGTTGACAGCTATGTTAAATTAGAAACACAAAGACTAGATTTTTTTAGAATACAACATGAAGAAATAAGACAAGAATTCTTGCAAGGAGTTGTGGATGCAATGGCAAAAGGGGAAACATAGGGTTCTGCTATTGATAGAAGAATAGTACTACCTTCGAATTTTATTGGCGGCCCTAGAAACATGAGACAAAAATATGTAGATGCAATGGCCTTGGTACAAAAGTTCGGTAAGCCTGATATTTTTTTTAACTATGACGTGCAATCCTAATTGGCCTGAAATAAAAGAAAATCTTAAACCATATGAAGAAGGCCAAAATAGAGCTAATTTGATTGTTAGAGTTTTTCATGCTAAAGTAGAACAACTTAAACATGAACTTTTCAAGAATAACATTTTCGGAGAAATTTGTGCTCACACTTACGTTATAGAATTCCAAAAAAGAGGACTTCCACATGCACATTTTTTGCTTATATTAGAAAGCAATTGTAAAATGCATACACCTGAAGACTTTGACAAAATTGTTTCTGCAGAAATACCATCAGAAAGTGCAAATCCTCATTTGTTTAGGATGGTTGTGCAACATATGATTCATGCTCCAGGTGGCTCTTTAAATCCTTTTAACATATGTATGAAAAAGAAGGGTTCTTGTAAAAATCTTTACCCAAAAGACTTTTCTTCTCAGACTATTCAGACAGACGATGCATATCCTATATATCGTAGACGTAATGATGGGTCCGAAGTGAAAGTCAGAGGTGCTATTCTTAATAATAAATGGGTCGTTCCGTATAATGCCTATTTGCTTTGTAAATTTAACTATCACATTAATATAGAAATTTGTTCATCAATAAAGGCTGTGAAGTATATATATAAGTATATTTGTAAGGAATCTGACAAGATAAGCTTTAATATTTCTCCAATTACAAACCTTGTCCTTATAAATGAGATTGACGAGTATCAATCAGGTCGATGGGTTTCTCCTCCTGAAGGTGCATGGAGAATTTTTAAATTTCCTTTGGGTGAAATGAAACCAGCTGTTATTCATTTGCCCTTGCATTTAGAAAACTATCAGCCTTTGACATTCAAACGTAAATCAACATTGGTTAATATTCTGAGTAACTCTGGTCAAAGAAAAACTATGTTGACTGAGCTTTTTGTTGAAAATGATATTGGAGTTTTAGCAAAAAAGCTTAAGCTCACATACAATCAGTTTCCTGATCATTTTGTTTGGAAGGGGGATAAAAAGATGTGGTCACCCCGGAAAATAGGCGACTCAATTGGTCGTATTGTGATTGCCCATCCAACTGAAGGCGAAAGGTATTATCTTAGAATTCTTTTGTCTAGAGTTCGTTGTCCTAAATTGTTTGCTGATTTAAAAATGATTAACGGGGTAACTGTTGCTACCTTTAGAGAAGCTGCTTTGTTACGTGGTTATTTACTTGACGATGCTACTCAACAAGTATGTATGCAAGAAGCTTCTACTTTTCACATGCCATTGAGTTGAGAAGGCTTTTTTCTTCACTTTTAGTTTTTACCTGTCCAAATAGTCCGCGCAAGTTGTGGTTGTTATTTGAAGATGCAATGATGGAAGACATTTTACGCCACCACAAAGAGACACACAAAGAATCTAATGCCCGTGCATTTAAACATATTGATTGTTTTCTACAGTCAATGGGAAGACGTCTTCATCAGTTTGATGTTCTACCCCAAAATTCATTTGATCGGTTGATGGAAGATGACACTAGAGGGATTAAAACAGAAAAAAATATTGTTGTTTCCACTGAAGATTTGGCTGCAATATATACTCTTAATAAAGAACAGAAGGTTGCTTTTGAAATGATAATGGATGCAGTTAGCTGCAATAAACCTGGTTGTTTCTTTATCGATGGTCCAGGTGGCACTGGGAAAACATTCTTATATAGAGCTTTATTGGCTAAAATTAGATCTGAAGGTCATGTTGCTTTGGCTACAGCTACATCAGGTATTGCAGCATCATTATTGCCTGGTGGCAGAATAGCTCATTCGCGTTTTAAAATACCTTTGGATGCGGCTGAAGGGTTTGTATGTAAGGTTAGTAAACAAAGCTCTTTAGCAGTGCTGATTAGGATTTGTAAGTTGATTATATGGGATGAGGCTCCAGTGGCAAAGAAATCTGCAATTGAATCCTTGGATAGTCTACTTAGAGATATAATGGACTGTTCAACTACTTTTGGTGGTAAAGTTGTTGTTCTTGGTGGTGATTTCAGACAAACTCTTCCTGTTGTTAGGCTAGGAAGTAAAACACAAACTATTTCTGCTTGTTTAACTAATTCTTATTTATGGCAATCTCTTACCCATTTGCAGCTAACAGAAAACATGCGAGCTCTATTGGATCCTTTTTTTTCAAGTTTCCTTTTGGCACTTGGTAATGGTATAGGAACTCATACAGACGATGCGGTTGTTTCTCTACCATCATCAATGCTCATTCAGGGTTGTAATGATGTTAACGGTTTGGAAGCTCTTATGAAATATGTTTATCCTAACATTTTTGTTACTCCTGCCACTTTCTCTCCCACTTGTAATCGTGTTGTTCTAACAACTAAAAATACTTTTGTAGATGAGATTAATGATACTTTGATATACAAATTGCCCGGAGAAGAGATTGAATATTTTAGTCTTGATGAGACTATTGATCCAAATGATCAGGCCCAGTATGAGGATTTACTTCATTCCTTAACACCAAATGGTATGCCACCTCATAAACTTGTTCTTAAGTATAATGCTCCTATTATTTTGTTGCGGAACATGAACCCCTTTGAAGGTTTATGTAATGGTACTAGACTTTTCTGTAAAGATTTTCAAAGGAATGTTATACGTGCAGAGATAAGCTATGGAGAATTTGCTGGAAAAGAGGTTTTGCTTCATAGAATTCCATTACAGCCACCAACAGGAGAACAATATACAGTTCCATTTAAAAGATTTCAGTTCCCAATTAGATTGTGTTTTGCAATGACCATTAACAAAGCTCAAGGTCAAACACTTGATTATGTTGGCATTTACTTGAAAGAACCTGTTTTTTCTCACGGTCAGTTGTATGTAGCACTTTCGAGAGCAAAAAGTATAAACAGTATTAAAGTTTTTATAACGGGATCTGCATATGGTAGCTCAAATAATATAACAACTAAGAATATCGTCTATAAAGAGATTTTACAACATGCTCATCAGCTGTCGATGTAGGTACTTTTCCTACAACTTCCTGTTATTTTTCTTTTATTCATGTACCCATTTAATATTCTTTTTACCACAGGTAGCTGTTGATCTTTGCAACTACAAGATGCATGGTATTTCATTGCTTTTCAATGAAAAAGGTCAGCTACCTTTTATCAGTTGATTTGAATATAAAATATTTTTTTCTAAACATCTTCGCTGTTCGTACTGACATTTGAGGACATCCTTAATCTTTACTCTATTTCTCAATTCAGTTTTATTAAACATCTTTACATAGTATCTTTTAGGATCTCCCTCGGTTTTATGTTTCACAAACACAATTAACCTTATTGAAATCAATTTGAACATGACAGTCTTTCTTGCTTTGCATGTCAATATGTATGTGTTTACTTTCTTACAGGCTGTAACCTACTCACATGGTATCGAAACCACACCCCTCTGGAACAGTATTCAATCAGGAAGTGACAAAACTTCACCAACAAGATGAAATCTAAACATTAGATTAGGAGATTAGGTAGACTATATCATATATTTAAATATGTAAAGCTTGTAATGTATGCCATTTGGATATAAGTTTTACTAACTAATCTTTCTTACGTTTACTGTACTTGTTAAGTAGAACGAATCAACCTCATTCTGTGCTTACGGTTGAATGTGATACTTGCGTCATGTTTTGGTGAGATGGAAACTTAAACTAGGTTGTTTTTTATGGTGGGCTTAATTTTGGTTTATCATTTCCTGGCCCTTCAACAGTTTCCAACATGAAAGACCCAACAAGCCAATTAAAATTATTGGTAATCGGTTTTTTTTTTTTTAAGTGTCACGTGCTAATTTTGTTATACTACTCATTCTCATAAAAGTTTTTCATTTACTTGACAGGAAACAGATGAAATAATGGCTATAAAGATAAATCAAGAGTACTCAATTTGTTAGTATTGATCTAACTGCATAATTATAACAGATCATTGCAACTTTTACAAAATGGTTTTCTTTTAATTAATCTAATGTTCAATAAATAAGTTACTTATAAATTCTTTACTATAGACTAACTTTTGATATGCACAACTGAATTATCTATTAATATTAAGATTTAGTTTCATTTAAAATAATAACAAATTTTCTTTAATTAGCTATAATCTTTATTACAATAGACTATGACACATTTTCATATATAGTTATAACAACGTACTTTCATTTCCTTACCCATAATACCAATTTACTCTCATTTACTTACCCAAAAATTATACCATTCACCTTTATTTTTTTTGTCGTGAAGATAATCTACTTTCACAGTTTAGTTAATCAAATTGTCCTGCCTAAATAAACAATACCATTTTGACACAAATCTGCCCGTTAAACCAAGTGATTGATTCTTTTGCTTGGTAGTTACCGATCGGTTTGTATACTCGGTTATATCAAAAAATGTGAAAAATACTAATTTGTATTCTAAGATTCTCCCGCACCTATTATAATTACTCGATTTCATTTTTAACAACCATTGCAAAATCTTTCATATAACCAAATTGAAAAACCCATCAGTAACTACCGAGCAAAATGGTCCACCACTTTGTTTAACGGGCATATTGGTGTAAACATGAACTTCTTTATGCCAGGTTGGATGGTTTACTTTACTAAAGTGTGAAATTAGATCATCTTTAGTAGGAGAAAATAGATGTTACTGGCATAAAGTTTTGGTAAGAAAATGAAAGCTTATTGCTGTTATGGGTAAGGAAATCTTATTACCTTGCTGTAACTGTTACCATCTTTTTTATACAATTCTATTGTTTATTTATGCCATCTAACATTCGCTATCGCATGAAAGACAAGTTATTTTCTTGGTTCAGTCATTCTCATTCATATCAGCTGTACCTCTTGTTGCAATACATAGAAAGACCATTTAATGGTTCAGTTTATTTTAAAATTATTATCACCTATTTCCAATTCCACCTTTAATAATATGCTTTCCATTTCTACATATCCTTTTTTTAATTATTTTACAAGTAATCATTTGCTAATTTTCATCAATTTATGTCTCTTTCATTATACATGTCCATATAAATATAAGGTTTCTTTTTTTTTTATTACACATTTTTTTTTGTTTTTTTGGCTTTAAGGATATTTAATATGTGTGTTGAAACTGATTGGATATTTTAGTCAATTTATATGTAAAAGTTGTTATGTATTGATGCTTATTATTTTTATTTTTTAAAGAATGTTTTGTTTATGTGTACTTTAGATTATTGTATATCTTACTCGATCTTAGTGTATTGTATGTTCCCAAAATTTAATCCATTTTTATTAGGCAAAATTTTTTAGACTTCTCTCATTATTAAATACATTTGAATTTGAACTATGGTATTTGGTATATGTTTTGACGAGGACCCTTACATATGCCGTGTATATTTATTTGGTAATTTTAATATTTGCAGTTATATGACAAAAAAAAATATTTATTTAAAATTCAGTTTAAACTTACTTTAGAACGGATTTTCTTTCCTGTAATCCTATTTACATATTTAGAGGAATTTTTTCATTTATGATAATAATAATCCGTTTACCATCATTTAAAGTTTAAGGACCCAATTGTATATTTTTTAATGGGCAACGTAAAACGATGGTTGTAAATATTCTACACTTATTTATTCACAATTTAGAAGCCAACTTATGGGTTCTAAAATCCCACTTCATAAGTATAACGATGGGGAAACAGAGGTATTCTCATCTCAATAGATTATTGTTCACACATCCCATCTCCACATAACTCTGATTTACTAGGTCGCACGTGGCCACTATCCATCAGAACCTCAGTTATTTTTTTACGCTGTCTGTTTAGATAGATAGAAAATGCAAAAATTGATCTATTTTCTTTCAATGTTTTGTCCTTATGACGTATCTTATGTGTTGGTTTATCAAATCTGATGACACGCAGTCGGAGACAATTCCAATTACATGATCTCTTTAGATAAGTATAAACAATCATCAGTCATACCTTTGTTTTCGATGTGCTGTTAGCCAACAACATCTGTTATTTTTCCTTACTTAAGATATTTACAGTGGATTTCGAATTTCCCAATTTTACACGTAATAATTTTTTACCTTATATATTTACTGTTATTGTTGATCAATTTCTTAACAAGACAATCTGTACACGTTTGATCCGGTAAGTTTACCTAATTGTTATGAAGAGTCGTTCTTCATTTTGTTTCATTTTCTTAATTTACCTGTATGCCTCTTGACTTTTTTTACAAATTTTTATGTTGCAGTTAAATAAACATGTCTACACAGCTTACTCCGATTATGGAAATCAATCAGGCAACTCACAACCGGTGGACAGCCCTTGTACAAATCTTAGAATGTCAGCACGTTTTGCAAACTAAAAAAGGGTCTTCTTACAAACGACTGATGTTAACAGATTCTGAAGGCTTAAAGTTCACAGCAATTATTTTCAGTGAGAATTTAAACTACTATGCAAGAACATTCACACAATACAGGAGGTATCACATCTCAAATGCGTTTCTCATCCCATGTGATCCAAGATATGCACTTAGCTTGTATGGATTTTCATGGGTGCTCAATAAGCGAACGCTTGTACAAGAACATCCTGATCGCAATCCGGTGAATTTACCTTGTACTTTTGAATTCACACCATTTACGAGGTTCCATGAACATGCTGAATCAGAACATTTTCAAAGTAAAATACTTTTTCTATTTACATAACAGTTATTTTTTGTTTATTTATTTATTTTTCTTAATATTAACTATGTTTATATATATATATATATATAATATATATATATATATATATATATATATATATAAACATATATATTTGTATTATGTAGATGTCAGAGGCATCGTTGTACGATGTTTGCCCAGTTATGAAAAGGTTCTGACCTTGTCAGTCGGAGAGATGTCGTTATTATCAACGAAGAGTATAAAATTCTTTATCACACAATAATCTATTACCTATTAGTTACATACATTACATTGATTACATTACAATTTCCTTTTATAGAAAACTGCCTTTGGTGATCACTCTGTGGAACCAATTCGATGAACATGAGGGTAATATGTTGCAGTCAATGCAAGGCCCACCCCTTTTGTTCTTTGGACTGAGGCTGAAAGTCACGACTTTTAACTGTAATTTATTTACCTTTTTACCGAATAATATATATATATATATATATATATATATATATATATAA